TCAAAGTCGACACAAAAGGAATATCTAACTATGAAAGGCACTTGTTTATATTTAAAAAAATGATTTTTTTAAAAAAAATAAAAATTTATCAACCGTCTACCTTGCTAGGATTAATATGTAATTATTTAAGAACTTGATGTTGTCACTTAAAAATGACCCTATGCAAACTAGCATCTTAATCAATTTATTTATAATTATCACTACATCTTACGAAATCAATCAATTTATTTATGAGCAAGACTTGAATTGATCTTACGTAATTAATCAATTTAATAGTTGTTATCGTAACACAAACCTTGCAAGTAATCTATATTTTGTCTTGATTATTGATTGATCACTATCTACCGGCAATTTTCTGATTAGTGGACCCTAATTTTCTTTTCTTCTTAGTATATGTCGAGAATATTTTTATATATTTTTTCAAGATAAGAACGTGTACCATATAATATTAAAAATAACAATGTTGGGTTCACTTTTGTAATGACTTTTTCATTTTGATTCTTTATATTTAATTAATATCTAGTTTAATTATCTTTGTCAGTTGGTGAATTAAAGTGTTCTAAAAAAAATTAGAGGATGAAAGCTCTACTCAATTGCCTCTTTGTCAACAAAAGCATGTTTATATTCTTCTCAAATCTCTTCACAATAAATTAGTAAATAAATAAAACTTTTTCAAATATTTGGAGAAATTTGAATATTGTGTGGTTAACAATAACAATATAATCCTATAACATATATACTTTATTCACAGTTTTGAGAGGATAAAATGTACATGAATCTTGTTTATTCTTTTGTGAGGTAGAAAAAGTATTTTTGAAATAATATATAATACAATAGTAAGATACAAAAAGCAAATGAAGAAAACTATGTGACTATTAAATTAAATAGCCTCGACCTTCTCCACATAAAATATAAAAATGCTCGATTACTAACTAGACTTCTACGGAAAAAGATCCCCCATTACTATTTTGTCCATTACTTTTGAATGATATAGTTGATGTATGTCATATGTACAAATGACTATGAGAGGCTAGAATATTTTTTCTTGGTACTTTAAAAAAATATATAATTGATTAATTTATTATTATATCTATTTATTAAATTATTCCTACACTAGATAATATTTTTGAAATGTAAGGTAAATTATTTTTAGCCGTAAAGGTATGGATCGTTTTTGTTAATAATACTTCAAGATTTTTTTATTTTATGTTTCTTAAAAAAAATGGATTTAATTGTTATGTTCTAATGTGAAGTCGTGAATAATGAAATTAATTAGGGAAGTCCGAAATTCCACAATTATTGTGTATGTTTACTTTTTTGAATAATTTTAAAATGGTAACTAACATATAAATAAAATTAAAGGAGTATTAATACATATAAATACTTGGGATTTAATATTATTTAATGTAAGTATATATATTTTTTTTTTAAATAATAAGAAAAATAATCTTTTATTTATACAGATGACCTTCATGTACTACACCATTAAAAAGTAATGGACAAAATAGTAATGGAAGTGATCTTTTCCGGTCTTCTATCACATGAGAATAAGAAATTGACAATTCGATATACTCAATGCATTAAAAGAAAAGGTTTAAATGTCTCTATAAATATACTAACAAAATACCTAATTTGGATGTTGATTTGAGCCTATTTAATTAATTAAATGTAACATTTCATCTAATTTTTTGACTTGAGATGTAAATTATAGTATATATGTCTTATATCACACATATATTGTCATACAAATTTTGGTGATATGACTTCACCATGCAACTAGAAATTAGTTGATATATTTCATCATTTTCACTTCTTAACTACCTCATCTAACTTTTAACTCTATTCTTATGATAACTTAACATCAAAAGATTTAAGAGTATTATCATCAATAATACATTTTTTTTCTTTTTATTTGAGGTGGACAGAGGACAGTACGTAGCAACACTCATGTTGGTGTTATGTCAATTTTGTATTATTTGGGAAATATTGAAAAACTTGTTTGAAAAAATATATTTTAAGTGCATAAATAATTTTTCAAAATTTAGTTAAGGTATGAATTGAGATAGAGATGATTTTTTGTGTTTATGTATGAAAACACATTTTCTAGTTCATAAAAAGTTGAAAAGAGAGTCTCAGTCTCTTCTGCTGCTATTATTGTCGCTTGACTCGGGATTCACCTTCTTCAGTCAAATGCTTGATTGATATGTTTTTTGGATCAAATTTGTTTTCTAATATTTGTTATTTTTTCCGCATTTGTTGAAACTCAAAACCTTGACATTTTTGAAAGTGTCTCCCCTCTCTTCACGACTATCTACGTAGTTTTGAAAGCGCACACAAATAAATCTTGGACTTCTAATAAATTTATGTTTTATCTATTTTCTGTTAGATAATTTCGAACATCATTACTAAAAAATACTGCATTTAACTATGAATTTCTTCGTTTGCCCGTTGCTATTTTGCTCGTAGCTAATTCATCACTAAGTAATTTTAGCAACAAATTTTACTGGTTAGCTACAAAATTTATCCGTCACTAAATCCAGTTTTTTCTTACCAAATATAGGAAGATAATAACAAATATGTCCAAACACAATTTAAACTTTCAAATGTTCTTATTTTAATCTTAACTTTAAAAATATATATTTTAATTTCAATCTAATATCATCCAAACGTCTACACATAATTTTTTTAAAAAAATTTATTATGTAAAATAATGTGGTAAATTTTGAAAATTTGTAGTGGAGGGTAAAATGTGATTGAAAAGAGTCCACTAGAATAAATATTGTGAAGGCAAAGGGCAATAAAAGCATCTCCGACAAAAAAGCGAAAAGATGAGCGGCTCAGAGTGACAGAAGGCCTAAATGTACCCTACCTTTGTCAAAAACCATAACAACAAAAAACTACTAGTACTAGATTCCTATCCCACACCCCTTGTGTAATATTTTTTTTTCCGATTAATTTAAATTTGTATTATGTAAGAAAGAAGTGATTTTTATCGAAATCTTTTATCATTTTCGATTGAAATAATGCTATTCATTTCACTATAAAACGATCTTTTATGCGACGATTAAATATTAACTTACCTTATAACTTGCCCCACCCTTAGACTACCCCTACTCTACCCTACCCTTGCTATGCAAAAACCCCTCAAACTCAAGAATATAATTAAGTGAACAAAATTAAAATGAGATTTTTTATATTTATGATTTAGTTACATATTATGAAAACTCTTGGAATAAGCACAATAATACATTAAATTTTATCGAGAATTTAAAAATACGAAGCAATGTAAAATAGCCCGTTAAGTTAGAGTAAATGATGATATTTTTCAACATACTAGATTTCAGTTTCAACAAAAAAACTAAAATCTCATACTACTACTACTAGTCTACTACTAGATTCCTATCCCATACCCCCCAAGGTAGCATTTTTTTTTTCCGACTAATTTAAATTTGCATTATTCGAGGAAGAAATGATTTTTGTTGAGATTTTTTTCATTTTCAATATTTAAACTACAAATTATATTTCTAGTTAAATTTGAAATAATTTTATTCATCTCACTATAAAATAATTTACGATTTTTTCTGCTATTATCAAATATTAACTTACCTTATTAGTCGCCCCACCCTTAGACTACCCCCACTCTACCCTACCTAGTACCAAGAATATAATTAAGTGAGCAAAACTAAAATGAGATTTTTCATATTTATGATTTAGTTACATACTATTATGAAACTCTTGGAATAAGCACAATAATACATTAAATTCAGGGAGAATTTAAAAATATGAAGCAATGTAAAATATCCTGTTAAGTTAGAGTAAATGATGATATTCTTCAACATACTAGATTTTGTATTGTTGTTGCTTAATTAAAAAAAATTAGTTTAAATCTTTAATTCTTTCATTTACTGAGAATTCAATAGCTACCAATTTGAGTTGTGAAGTGTGAGAGCTCGAGATAACAAAAAAAATCAACAAGATGTGGTGCTTTTTCCCAACTATCAAGAGTACAAAGATATCAATTTGAGATGGTTGAAATTCATTCACTTTTAAGTATAAATCTTATTTCGAACCAAAAATATGAAAAAGAAATCATAAATGGACCTCACACTAGGCAAATACAAATTAACCATGTTATTATTCATATAATATATATACTAGTTGTTATTCTTATTAGTATTTTAGATTAATATTCACGACTATATTCAAAAAATAAAAAGTAAACAATAAAATAACACTTCAATAAATTATTATAAAGTTAAAAAAAACTACTACTACTACTACTATCACTATTATTCAACTAATTTTACCATCAACGGATGTGATTGCTCTTCCTTAATCAAAAGTCTCGTGTTTGATCTTTGAGTATAATTTTTTTTTGATTGAGAGCGTTTTCTTCCGAAAGAGGCCTTATATAACGTCAATTCAAATTAGTCGAGCTTTAATACAAATACCAAATCGAAATAATTTTTTTTTAATTCAACTAGCTTTGAGTATTTGATTCAACATGGGTAGCTTTATTGAACTCCTCCCCTCCTTTGGTTGAAAACTTAAGAAAGAGATGGAAAAAGGAGGGATTACTATTTTAAATTTGAAACTTCCAAAATAATAAAATAAAATAAACTATTTGCTAGCCCCACTTTCAAATAAATAAAATCTTATATACTCCCTAAAATGCAGTCAACCACCAAAAAAAGAAAAGATAAAAAGATAAAATTTCATTTCATTTCCCTCCAATAAATTACAAAATTGATATTTAAAAATAAAATAAAATAAAAATATTTATGGTAATTGGTATGACTATGGATCTACTGTACAGGCAACTGCCCGACATTAACGGTGTTGAGACTCGAGATTGACCAAGAAAAAGGAAAAAATGGAGCTGAAAAAAGAAGCATAATTTTTTTTTTTTAAAAAAAATATAAAGATAAAAAAGAGAGAGAAGGAGAAAGAAAAGGACAGACAGAAGAGAGAACCAATAATCATAACCATTATACATAAAAAACATTTTTGTATAGTTTTATTTACAGAGAGAACAAAAAAAAGAAGAGGAGGAAGAAGAAGAAGAGGAAGAGAGTTGGTTTCACGTTTGTGGGGTTTTTGTTGTTGCTGTGTGTGTTGTTTTTGAAGAGATCTCTTTCAGATCAGAAGCTTAAAGGGTCATAAAGATAACCTCGTAAGGATTTATTTTTCTTCTGATCTGCATGTTTTGAAATCCCTCATTCTTTTTATTTTTGTTTTTTCTTTGGTGGGGTTGTTTCAGGTTAGGTTCTTAGGCTGAAGACTTTAGCTTTTTGGTAATTTTGGTTGTTGTGTTCATTTTTCTTGGTTTTTCTTTGTGTTGGTTTGTGTATGAACACATTTTATTATGTGGGTGTTTGAGTTTTGTGGTAAAGATTGGATTTTTATGGTTAAAATCTTGGAAAATGGAATGGGGTTTGAATATGAGGGATTTTAGGGTGTTTGTCTTTCTTTCTGAGTTAATTCTGTTTATGGGGTTGAGAATTTGGTTCATTTTTATTTCCTTCTGGGTGTTTGAGCTGTGGGAATTTTGCCTTAATGTCTATTTGTTAATGGGTTTGTTTTCTTTTTCTTCCTTTTTTTTCTTTTGCATAAGAGTTTGAAGTTTGTTTTTTGTTATGTATTTGAGCAATTTGGTGCATATGTTGGAGGCATTGAGGGTACTAGATTGGGTTGGTTCCTTTTCTTTTATTTCTCCTTCATTTTTTTTCTGGTTTTCAAGGGTGGGCTATGCTTTTGTGTGTTTACTGAAGGGGTTGTTTAGGCTGTGTTTCTGTTGGTTAGAAGATTATTACTTCTTTCTCTTTTGCTCCAGAATTTTCACATTTCTGATAGATTTGAGCATTTGGTTCTGCAAATTTTGATACATTTATTCCTTCGATTTTATCTTTCTTTTGTGCACCCAGAGTTTTGTGAATTGTCAGGCATTATTCCTTATGCAATATTCAGATTCAGAGATAAGTTTCTTTTTCATGTCATGAGCTTTTTCATGATAGGAATTAGACATTTGGGAGTCTTCTTTACTTTATTGTGGCCTTCCTAGAAAAATCTTGTGCCAGTTTGCATTCTGAGGTGGTTAGGATATTCTCCTGATCTCTCTCTTTCCTGCAAGTTCTTTCCCTTTTAGTTCTGTAAATTTTCCAATTCTAAGATATTTTTGGGGCCTTGTAACATTCTATTTTGCTCTCCAATTTTAGAGGTTGAGAGGTAACATATAGGGTTAGATTTTTTGATCTCTACCTCAAACACTTTCTTTGTCGGGTCATGTCATTTTCATAGGGGGATTAGATTCTTTCATATGTAAAGTTGGTCACTATATAACTGCTAATTCCTGATATGACGGAAAAAGGACTTTCTTGAATTTTGAAAAACTTCTCTTTCCATTCAGAAATATAATCTTGCTTTGCTAGGTAGATGCTAATTCTTCGGACTGCTTTACTGAAACGAAATAACTGAACTATTGGGATCTAAAAGCAGGTCACCGGAGACTCCTATTGTTTCGTTATTTTTTGCTTGCACCTTTGCCTTAATTCTTCCTACTGTCCTAACTGTGATTACTATATAGATGGAACTATTTTGCCTGATCAGCTGAACATTTTCTGTCCTCAGAAAGCTAAATATGTTCTGACTTTTAGAATATTCCTGGGGACTTCGTTCTTTCTTCTTCTTTTTGGGGTTAGCAATGTATGCGTTACACTTTATTTAGTTATTTGTTCATCTTTTTTGGTTTGTGATCAAACAATGAAGTGTGTAATGATTTTATTTCTGCATGTCCTGTAGTCCTTTCATCTATGAGTCTCAAGTTATAAGAGTATCTACCCTTGAGGGATTGCATTTTTAAGCTTTTATTCTGTATATTTCTTCTTGCAGGTGATGGGGAGAGACGTTACAGGTTTACGTTCTGATAAGAAACCTAGTGTTAAGCCAAATGGTGTCACCCATGGTGCAGTTCATGTTGCCCCCAGAATCGCCAAGGAAAGGGTTGAAGCAAAGGAGTTTGAGGCAGAGGATCACACTGCAAATGGCACACATGTGGAGGAATCCCATGAGAAGCAGGATGTACTATCTGTGAAAAGCACCAACTGTGAACCTGACCCGATTGAGGGAAAAATTGCGAAGACTGAGGCTGTGAAGTCCAGTGACAAGAAGTTGGGCTCACCAATGAATCCTTCATCTGATTCTACTGCAGTAACTGAAAGTCCATCCCCCCCAGTTATGAATTCATCAGGGAATGAATCTGAAAATCATGGAAATGGCACTCAGACTGTTGATGCTGGCTCGAATTGTTCATCAAAGTCCATCGATCTGCAGTCTCCTATGACTTCACAAAAATTGCATGTAAGATTTTGTTGCTTTTAATTGATGCGAACAATCTGGAATATGCTTCAGTCCTTATAAGCTGGACTCTTGGTTATTTGCCACCGTATAAAGGATGGCATTTGTAAGGGGCCGTGGATTTTATTTGCAGCTCAAAGATGTCCAGAAAACTGCTTGCTAAATCCTGCTTTTGATTATCTGACAAAGTTTAAAGTATTTTTGAACCAGCCTAAAATCCAGACCATATATTTCTTTTCTGTAGGTTTTGGTGGTGTTTTGGGGGGTGGGGTGGGTGGTAAAATGAATAGCCTGGAATGAGTTGATGCTTAATGGATAACTTCTCACTCTATAAATATGTCAAGATTTAAATTCTATGATGCTGTCTGGATGCTTAGTGGGAAACTCCAAACTCATCACTATGTAAACTAAATAGGCTTAAATTCTGATGTTGATATCACAGTAGCATTAACTGGGAACCTTCAGCAAATCATGACTCGGGTTTTGCCGAAAAGTAGATAGATTGATTTTGGATTGCAACTTAAGTGAGTTAGTTACTGAATGAAGAAGGACAAAAAGAAGTCGGCTGCAGCAAACAGAACGATAATTTACTGCAATCTGAACCAAATGCATAGTCAAGTATCTTGTTTGAATTTATCAGGCTTCCATACTACTCATATTTCAGTCTTTTGATGTCATTATTTTACACCCTTCATAACACTATATAATACTTGTTTATCCTCTGATGTCATGTAATTACTTGTGCCCTGATGATCAGACCACTGATCTTGAGAATTATTTATCTTGTTGCAGCAAAATTCTTCCATGATGACAAGGAAGTTGCGGATTCAGGATGAAGATGATAACTGGTCTTTGGCTTCCTCGTATCCTTTTATTGGACTTCTAATTCCTCTTTTTGCAGACTTCACTATTAAAAATTTATGTTTTTTTTTACTTGTTCTTCTGGGAAAATCTTCCTTATCTTTCATAGAACTGCAGCTTCTGTGCGGACAGTTAGGTCCAAGGTTACTGTTCCTGTAGCTCCATCATTTAAATGTTCTGAACGCTCAGCGAGACGTCAAGAGGTATTTTCCTGAAATTTTGAATGAAATTCTTGTTCAACCTTCTTACAAGCTCCTCTCCTCGTTCATAATTAACTTGTAGTTGTGCTTTGTTTTCTCAACAAACGATGCTATCTCAATCTTTCTCATTTTATTATCTAGTATTACACAAAGTTAGAGGAAAAGCACAAAGCTCTGGAGGCGGAGAAACAAGAATATGCAGCCAGAACAAAGGTATTATATTGTAGCATGCATGTATTAGTTTCTCACAACATTTTGACTTCCCCAACTTCTTATGCCTGGTGGGGAGAGAAAATGACATGTCGTGAAGTAAGATAATTGACCCCTAACTTATTCTCTACAAATTCTAGGAAGAGGAAGAGGCAGCAATTAAACAGCTTAGAAAGGCCATGTCCTACAGAGCGAATCCAGTTCCTAATTTTTACCGTGAAGGGCCACCTCCAAAGGCTGAACTTAAGAAGGTACTCTTCACGTATATATATACTCTTTGTTTATAGTTGGAAGTTGGTTCCCTATTGCTAATGTTTTTCCTTATACCCTGTATAAGAAACTTGTCCAATGAAGTTAAGGCTTTGGCTAGCATACAATATGAATGACCAATTTTTTAACTTTAATGCCATGTGATAAATCACAGTTCCAAATGTTGATGCCTCAAAAAGGATTTCAGAAGATAAAACATGAAGATACTAGTTAGTGCAATCAATTGTGGAATGCATGTGTTCTGTTTGCATGTTTAGTCTTTGTTCGAAAGGGATGGTATTAGACATAACTGAAGCAACTCGACTCTACAAATGGCAGATTTTGAGTGTAATTTAGACCTAAATGAGTCTTCTACTCCCTAAGTAATTGATCAAACAATCATGCAACAACCTTGAATTCTGTTTTTTCTGATGGACTAGATTGAGTTTGTATCCTTGTAAGCAAATAAAAATGTTCCTGCTTTGCATGCAGCTGCCAGTCACTCGTGCCAAATCACCAAATCTAACCCGTAGAAAGAGCTGTAGTGATGCAGTTGGAGCATCTCCTGAAGAAAAGAAAGCTTCTGCAAAGGGTCGTCACAGCATTGGTGTTTACAAACAAGGCAGTCCTACCCCACCCACCCCCAAAAGCAAAAATCGTGTGAGTGGTCGAATCAGTAATGGAACTCCTAGAGTCAAAGAACCTACAAAGTTGGTGAAAGCGAAAAAAGAATCCCCTTTGAAGGAGATGAAGGAAACTCCAATTAAGGAGATAAAGGAAACTCCAATTAAGGAGATAATAAAGGAAACTCCAATAGCAGAGTCAAATGGAACTCCAATGAAAGAGACAGAGGAAGCTCTGGTTAAGGTGACAAACAAAGCTTCTGTCAAGGAGATAAAGGAAATTCCCGTCTTAGAGACGAAGGAGGCTTCTGATACAATGACAGAGCAAGTGTCTGAAGAAACTGCTGCTCAATCATGATCATTGAGCAATTAGTCTTCCTTTTCATTTCCTTTTTCTTTTTCTTTGTAGTTTATCATCGAATCGAGATGTTCCAGGCAAGGTCAAATTGGCCTTCGTCCTTTCTTCTCGGCAATGACTTGTTGAAGTGATGCTTTGAAACTGTGTTGTATATTATATGTAATTTTCATTTGGTACATATGTTACATAGAAAGAGACTCCTGTTGAACATTTTGTTTATAAACATAACTTTAAGAACAGTTTGGCTGGGTTGTCTTACTGTTTCCTTGCCCATCTATTGAGTGACTAGTACTCTATGTATCTCCAAAAGATGGCTGGACAGTTTGTGCTTGACGACACTCGGTTAGTGAATTGCTGTGTTCCCATCTTTCTCTTCTGTTCAAAGGGATAACAGGGTGATCGTATTAAACGAATAAATGCATGATATGTGTTTTTATCAAACGTTTATCACTTCATGATTAAATAATGTGTACTTTGATAATACTATTGTTTGGTCGGTACTACTAACTTGGTAGGAACAGATAGCAATCAGTTATTTTCTTCTATAAAATGATATGCTTTTTGCCTATTTGGAGTACTATCTAGAAAGATAAAAATCATCATTTCCTAAGGATATAATCATAAAGGTTGTTGCTTTGTAGGGTACTTTTGTGGCATAATTTGCTAAGGTGAAATGATTCTTGTTTTGACATGCTGTTATCAGTTACTCATTACAAAAATAATATGTGAAACAGTACACTGTAGAGTGAAGAAGCAGCAAGAGTTCAGTGGTGGGCGCTAAAGGGTACAATCAAATTAGTGAATTTCAGTAAAAGCTACCATGGAAATATGCTGCGACATGATTAGTGATGATTCATATGATCGATTTTAGTTAACTTGAAATTCAAGCATTCTAGTTGTTATTGCTGTAAGATAATCTTATAATCACTTTCTTCTTCTGGAATATACTATGTCTAATAAGTTTGAAATTACTGTTTGTACTATGTAAAATCAACTATCTTATTCTACTTAAATAAATAAATCAATTTCTCACAAAAATTCGAAAAACTTTTCATGCCTGTTTCATTCATCTATTAAGCAGTTAGGTTAATCACATAAAATATAACATTCTTTAATTATACGCATCAACCTTACGTAGAAAACACATAAGGTTTTATGACTTATTGAGGCGAATGCATACGATTAAAGAAGATCGACATATTTTATGTGATTAACCTAACAACATAATTGACAAAAGAGAACACGTACCAGAAAAAAAATCAAAATGTCTCATTGGGACGGAGTGTTTAATTAAAAACGGAAAGAAGATGACATATTTTATGTGGTTAACTTAACAACTTAATTGACGAAGGAGAGCACATACAAGAAAAAATTCAGAATATTTAATTGGAACACTTTATTAGGAGTATTTCATTAAAAACGGAACTTAGTTAGAATGTATAAATGAAATACCTTGACAAGTTTAAGCAACTAATTTAGTTGAACAAGATAGTGTACAAGTTACAATGCACACAGTGCAACTCTCACAAAATCATAATCTTAATTAGTCAGAAATCCCCAATAGGCCCAAATCTCGCCGCTGCGATCTTGCAAAACCAGCACAAAAATCCCAACTCGGTGGCAATTTTCCTCCACTTTCAATGGACTCCCAATGGCTTTTTCCATGAGGAATCTTGAAAAAGTTGCAATCTTTAAGCCTTCTGCGCACACAATTCCACTGCTCAACTTCAATGGCCATCAACTCCTCAACAGCGCCGCCACCCAGTTATCCTCTCTCGATGATGACCAACAAGCTGCAAGCCTACGAGGAAGTTTTAGAAGAAGAGAGCAAGCCTTCCGTCTTCTTGGTAGCTCTCTGCCCTTGTCTCGTTTGTATCATTCTCTTGCTCATTGTAGTATCCATTTTTCTCATTGTCAAGTTTCATCTCTTTTGCCACACCCCACTTCACTCTGTTTTTTTCAAGAAAAGTTGCCATTGAGTAATCCCAGAAGGATTTGGCATCTTTTGCCAAAAGGGTGTTTTAATTTTACTAATACTCATCCAGATGTGAAGTTTTTGGAGTTGAATACTAAGCAAGTTAGCACTGTACAAACTTCACTCTGTACATCTCAAGGGAAGTTGTTATTTAGTAATTCCAGAAAGATATGGCCTTTTTCATCAAAAGGGTATTTTTATTGTACTGGTATTAATTCGAATTTGAAGTTGAGTTTTAGGGGAATTTGTAGTTGTGTTGATAATGATGGTGAATTAGAAAGTGATAATGATGTTGAGAGTGAGAGTGGTGAGAGGGTGGCGGTGTCGAAGGCGGATCCTAAAGAGGTGGATAGGGTGTGTAAGGTTATTGATGAGTTGTTTTCGTTAGATCGGAATATGGAGGCTGTTTTGGATGAATGTGGGATCAATTTAAGCCATGATTTGGTAGTAGATGTGTTGGAGAGGTTCAAGCATGCTAGAAAACCAGCATTCAGATTCTTTTGTTGGGCGGCTCAGAGGCCAGGGTATGCTCATGATTCAAGAACGTATAATGCAATGATGGCAATACTTGGAAAGACGAGGCAGTTTGAGACTATGGTTTCGGTTCTTGAAGAAATGGGGGAGAAAAGTTTGCTTACAATGGAGGCATTTTTGATCTCCATGAAAGCATTTGCTGCAGCAAAAGAGCGGAAGAAAGCTATTGGGATGTTTGAGTTGATGAAGAAGTACAAGTTTAAAGTTGGGGTGGAGACAATTAATTGTTTACTTGATGCCCTGGGAAGGGCAAAGCTTGGGAAAGAAGCTCAATTGTTGTTTGAGAAATTGGAGCATAGATTCACACCAAATTTACTAACATATACAGTTTTGCTCAATGGATGGTGTAGGGTAAAGAATCTGATGGATGCTGGTAAAGTGTGGAATGAGATGATTGATAAGGGTTTTAAGCCTGATATTGTCGCCCATAACACAATGCTGGAAGGGCTGTTAAAGTGTAAAAAAAGGTCTGATGCGATCAAGCTGTTTGAGGTTATGAAAGCAAAGGGTCCATCGCCTAATACAAGAAGTTATACGATCTTGATCCGGGATTTGTGTAAGCAGGGTAAGATGGATGAAGCAGTTGCCGGTTTTGAGGAAATGCTTAGCTCTGGATGTGAGGCAGATGCTGCAACTTTTACCTGTTTGGTAACAGGCTTTGGAAATAAAAAGAAGATGGATAAAGTCTTTGCATTGCTGAGGGAGATGAAGGAAAAAGGATGCCCACCTGATGCAAGACTGTATAATGCACTGATCAAATTAATAATAAATCGACGAATGCCAGATGATGCGGTTACTTTATACAAAAAGATGATCCGAAATGGAATTCAACCTACTATTCACACTTACAATATGTTGATGAAATCATTCTTCATGACAAAGAACTATGACATGGCTCATGCAACTTGGGAGGAAATGAGCCTGAGGGGTTGCTGTCCAGATGAAAATTCTTACACCGTCTTCATTGGAGGGCTTATAGGGCAGGGACGATCTATGGAGGCTTGTAAATACTTGGAGGAAATGATAGACAAAGGCATGAAAGCACCTCAACTTGACTACAACAAATTTGCTGCTGATTTTTCTCGGGGTGGTAGGCCTGATATACTGGAGGAGTTAGCTAAGAGGATGAAATTCTCTGGGAAGTTTGAGGTCTCAAGTCTCTTTGCTAGATGGGCTGAAATGATGAAGAGTAGAGTAAAGCGTAGGGATCCCAGCTGATTAGCAATGCAAATAAATTATCTGTCCTGGCCGTGGAATTTTATGTTCTCGATAATGCAGATGAGAGGATCACTAACCAACCAGTAGCGCCTTTTGACAATCAGTGACAACGGAATGTTACTTTTTGATCTCAGCATATCATACAAGGTCTGAATACGAAAATTCATTCTTATTCCTGTTGTAAATTCCTCTTGTATTTCGTACGTTTTACGTTTACCTAGTTAATCATTTGTTCTTTTGGCATTCATTAGGCTTCTTGGTGATTCAAAGCATCTTTATATTCTTGTGCTGTAGTATGTTTCACTGTACTTACTGGAACAACAGAACACTGAAATCGTAACTGTCTTTTCCAGCTATGATTTGGCAAATAAAAAAAAAGACTCAAAGCTATACTTTTGTTCTTTCAGGATCTCACATTGCTGCCATATATGCATAGTTGCTTGAACAAGTTCTTACAAATTTAGAAGTTTCCTAGTAAAAGGAATATGTAATATTTACGAAAATAATATTTCAAAAATTATAAATATTAGTATGATAATAGGGACCTAATTTAAATAGAACCCTTCCTGAAGATGTTTGCGTCACGTCATGTATTTGTAATACATGTATTATTTTATTTATTTGAATAAATATATAGGCTATTCGCCTTGATTTTCTTTTAATAGCCTTTTATTTAATGCAAATTATTTTATAAATTTCAATTTCAACTCTTTTAACATTGGTTTACTATAAAATTGAATTAATATTTCTTAATTAGCTTAGCTTAACTTTATAAATTTCTTAATGTTCACTATTTTTTGTTGTTTCAAAGTTTACTAAACTTACAATTTTTATAACTTTCAAATTGAAAATTAATTCTATAACTTTTAAAAAGTTTAAAATTTTATTAAAAAATTAGATAAACTCATTTTTTTTTGTAAAACTAGTTTTTTTAATCTAAGTACTAACTTACTAACTATATTAAGAGCCTGTTTGGATGGGCTTTTAAGCTGGTCAAACTGACTTAAAAGTCAGTTTTTGACTTATTAGAGTGTTTGACAATTATCAAAATGACTTATTTTAAGTCAAAAATGACTTATTTTAAGCCAAAAGCTAGGGGGGGGAGCTTCTTTTTTTTTTTTAACTTAAAAGCACTTTTATGTTGACCAAGTATATTATCTTTTTGCCCTTAATTCTTTTATACAATTTCCAAATTGCCCATATTGAATTATTATTATTATTATTATTATTATATTCTTACTATTATTATTATAATAATTATAATTATAATTAATTATAATAATAATAATAATTATTATTATTACTATTACTATTATTATTATTATTATATTATTATTATTATTATTATTATTATTATTATATTCTTATTATTATTACTATTACTATTATTATTATTATTATTATTATTATTATTATTATTACTTTTACTATTACTATTACTATTATTATTATTATTATTATTATTACTATTACTATTATTATTTTTATTATTATTAAATTATTATTATTATT